GATGTAGCTGAGAGCAAACGATGTGCTGGCCACCACGCTTTTGGACACGTCACAAACACCGTGACACTGACAGGATGTACAGCCACATACAGCCAAAAATGGACTATTATTAGATTCACACTGCTCAACCTCAGGTTCTTGGTTCTCTAAATATCTGCTGATTGATTTGCCTCCTCACCCTCGCCTTTCTCAACCAGAGTTTTTCTGCTTGGAGGATTTGCATTCGACAGAAAACGATCCTGGCCTGGGAGTGACCAGCGCTCTGGTGACGGATAAATCTTCTACAAATCCGCGATATATCCGGAGCATGCGTGTCAGGGCTCTGGGTAGGTCTGCAAATTTTATTTCATTGGTGGCATATTAACTATTTCACTTTATGTCGAATTGCGATTGCTTTTCTTCAAAATCCAGCCTGAATCTTCACTCATGGTGCTGTTTATCGCTAGCTGCTTCTGCGGCCTGCCTGCCAGTAACCACACGGCCTAGAGTACCAGGCGGCATTGATAATTTCTGGCTTACGCCCTCACCAAACGCGGGGCTCCTGATTATCGCGGAGAAATCATCTCAGAAGTCAAAACTCGGCCACTCCAGAAGGGATGGGTTAAGCCGCCGCGTCAGCGGCGTCCGCTTCCCCTCCTTCCGAGCCTTGCTCTACTGTTGGGTCTGGATTCTGGAGCCGAAAGAATCTCGAAGCTTGGAACGGTAGAAAAACTCCGAAAAGCAAAGTGCATAGCGATACGAACTTTTCCTAATAAGATCCTTGCACCTCCAATACACAGGTCTTGGAAGACCGCTCCCCTCGAACCTACTTGAAGGTTTCACTGGCACTTTGATTCTGCTTACTATTTTTTTTAAAAAACTTCGGCTATGTCGGCAGACCGCAATTACGGTGCTAGTGCTGGCGTTGTCCTGAAGATGGCTTTCCTTCCCTTTCCACTGCACTTGATGGAAAGGACATGTTATATTTTATTCCAGAAGACAATGATAACGAGGTTCGCTGCAGCCTGCGGAGCCGTTTAAATTGCCTCATCACTACTCTGCGAATGATCTGCAAAGTTCTCCTCGGCCGGAATATCCTCCACGTGCGTCGGTAATCTTTCCTCATGGGTTGTCCTATCTGCCGCATTCATATTGCAAGTCATGCCCAAGAAAAGCGGCCTGCCAAATATGATGTCCCCAAAGTCAACTTCGATGCTCAATAATTGACACATCCACTTTACCTTGGTTTGCGCGTAATATACGAAGACCGCAGAGCCATTATCCTTTTGGTTTCTATGAACCAAGTAGCCATGATACTGGTTGAATCTGTCTCGTTGTCAACATATCTCAGAAGAACCCAGGCCACAGATGAGGACAATTGTGAAATCTTTCCACCATTAACGTTTACAGGTACGAAATGGACACCCGCGCCGGGCTCCCGAGTCATGCTAGAAATTTGTATATTCCGCAGGATGTCATATTCCGTAGGGTGTGGAATGAGCGATTTTTCCCGAGGCACAGCGCCGGGAGCAACTATACCAGTGAGCCGGGCGGTGATGCTTAGCTCTTTACGGCGTACGCAACGTTAACAAGTATAGTAAATGGGCAAAAAACCTGAAATAGCTGATAGCATATTCGCCATCACTCACATAACCATGAGGTACGTACTCGGAGTATTGGAGTTGAGCGACGACTGACGAGCTTCAACGTTGGATAGATGGCCTGCCACTTGTATAGGGAATCGTTCTCTAATGTTAGATGATCACCACCGGAGACATATGCGGATGCTTTTTTGATAAAGCACATCATCGATGCGGCTTATAAGTTAAGGCTCAGCGCTCAGGAACCAAGTAAACACACGTCTATGCACATAGGGGATGTTCAAATGCAGGGGACACTATGGATAGCACAGATACGAGGATATGATCTTTGCGGGTCCCGGGGCCTGTCCCGGTCGTTCAAGTTACGCTGGTAGTCTACTGACGGAAGGCTTGATGCTTGCGGCATCCAGGTAAGTAGTATAGTTTTCATCTGGGCATTGACACCAGGTTGTAATGAGGGCAAGTCCCGAGTAATCAACACAAAGACTCAAGCTTCAAGAGCAGTAACTAGAAAGAATTAGGGATTCATGATTCATCCAACACACCTTCGGCGACGGTAATATGTCATTACATACATTCGCTTTTGAGAGGCTACCAAAAGCTGCCAATCAGGCATTGATGTATGTGTGGGTCCGGATCCAAGATCAGGATCCATAACCCCCGGAATCCTCAACGTATCATAAGAACCTGATAGGAGAACCAGGATAACCAGCGGAGGATCAGGACCATGGTAGCTGCTTTCCAGCTGCGGGTTTCAAAATTTCATGGGTAAAGGAGGATGATGAACGTCCCGTTATAGAACTTACACTGGAACTCAGGAGTAGAGGGAGGCACGCATGTACTCACGAATCTCCTGATTGGCGAAGATGGATATCATTTGAAGCATAGAGCGAAGCTGATATGTGAACTAGCTATCTCCGTTGATTGCGAATCGTTTATATCCAGTAGGACCAGACGAGCGTTATCGTTCCACTAGGAGAAGGAGAGAATGGACGCTGATCTCGGGGCAGTGAGATCAAAGAAAGGACAGACGGCACCAAAGAGTTTGCCTGCCAACGGACGGACAGGATTTACATTGCCATGGCAAACGTCCCAGTAACCCCTCTAAAAGGAGGCTCGGCAGTATCACAGCGAGAGCCAAGGGCAGCATCGTGGGTCAATCGAAGTCTTCTAAAGGAAGCTTTGTTGTTCTCATTGCAACTTTTCCTATATCTGTGCTATTGTCCGCCTAACATCTCTTGTTTTGTGTTCGCCCTTGTACCTCCACTACCACCACCTCGTTCCTCACCATGCCTGCCGACCCCCAAGCGCAAGCGCAGCCAGCGGCGAAGTCGAAGCACGCACATGCTGCATCATCAGCCCAGCCTGCACCGAGGAAAGTGCGCTTCAACGTCGGTAAGCGCAGGGTCCAGCGGAAACAAATCTTCGGTTTAACTCCTAGTTCTCCAGGTACTCAATACCAGGTACTCGATGTTGTCGGCGAAGGTGCATATGGTATCGTGTGTTCAGCAGTGCACCGACCCAGTGGCCGCAAAGTCGCTATCAAGAAGATCGCGCCTTTTGATCACTCCATGTTCTGTTTGAGAACTCTTCGAGAACTCAAGTTGTTGAAGTTCCTAAGTGAGGCGGGAGTCAGCGAAAATGTGAGCTCGAATTCATGAATCCCATGCACCCCGACCGACCACAACGCCGCTAGATCATTTCTATCCTAGACATCATCAAGCCACCGTCAATAGAAGCTTTCAAAGAGGTTTATCGTATGTATCTCCATACACCCATGATCCCAGCGTTTTTGACATTCTGGTTTGATGACAGTAATTCAGGAGCTGATGGAGACGGACATGCACCGTGTTATCCGAACACAAGACCTCTCGGACGATCACGCACAGTATTTCATCTATCAAACTCTTCGGGCACTCAAAGCCCTCCACTCTGCGGATGTGATCCATCGTGATCTCAAGCCTTCGAATTTACTTCTCAACGCCAACTGTGACCTAAAAGTGTGCGACTTTGGCCTGGCACGTTCAGTAAAGACCGCAGAACCCTCCGGTACGGAGACAGGGTTCATGACCGAATATGTTGCGACGCGTTGGTACCGGGCACCGGAAATCATGCTTACATTCAAGCAATACACCAAAGTAATGTTGCCATCTGAGCATTTCATGAGCCACAACTAACTATCTGTAGGCGATCGACGTCTGGTCCGTGGGTTGCATTCTTGCAGAAATGTTATCATCGAAACCTCTCTTCCCTGGCCGTGACTACCATCACCAGCTCACACTCATCCTCGACGTCCTTGGCACACCCACCCTCGACGAGTTCTATGCAATTACTACTCGTCGCTCCCGAGATTATATTCGTGCACTGCCCTTTAGGAAGCGTAGGCCATTCGCGCAACTCTTCCCGAACGCCAACCCGCTTGCTGTAGATTTCCTTACCAAGACACTGGTACGTTTCCAAAAGTATCGAGGGAAATGAACGATAATAATATATTTTCTACAGACTTTCGATCCCAAGAAGCGTATCACCGTCGAAGATGCCCTCGCACACCCATATCTAGAGGCATATGTACGTCATTCTTTAGCTAGTTTCTGCTTGCCGTACTTACACGTCTGCCATGTCTAGCACGACCCCGACGATGAACCTGTTGCTCCTCCACTTGACCCTGAATTCTTCGAGTTCGATCGTGAGTACTTCCTCGTTTGCGTTGTATATCTGGCAACTAACTATGGGTGCAGTTCATAAAGACGACATCAGCCGTGAGCAGCTCAAGGAGCTTCTCTACGAAGAGATTATGACCTTCCAGCCTGCACCCATCACATAAGTCGGTGGCTGGGTAACAACCTCCACATGAAGCCATGTATTTCCACCCAAGATACCACACATCGACACCTCCAAAATACATCAAGCTCGGGCTATTTATCCACTATCATGATCTTCAAGGGCGATGCTATTTGAACAGTAATATCTACCAATGGTTGCTCCGTTCTTTCTCGACTATCTACGTTCTATGTTCAGTTCAGTTGTTGTCTCTTCTGTCTTTTCTTCTTTGGGACGGAGTGGTCACACTTTGGTTGATCTATGTAAAGATCTACAGATCCTTGTCACGTATACAAATGGTCCGCGTAAGCACCGCTCGCTGCACATCCGGCAATGTGTACTTTGCTTCCTTCCCGGTTACCCGCTGTTTGTACTTCGATGCACCACACTTGCTGTACTCACTCAGTGACTCACATCCAATCCAATCCAATCTAATTTGCTTGCAATTCATGAAAAACCAATGTCTTTCTAACTTCTAATGCTAGCTACTTCCTTGAGGATCATGCAAGACAGTACTGGTATCAAGGCATTGCTCAGCTTATTGTCATCTCGAACTTAAGCCTGACGGAGACAAAAATATTAAACTCAATCTCAAGTAAGTTCCCTCTAGCCGACTTGAACGACTGACCTCGTCATGACATTGAGAAGTACTAGTGACGCGCTCTACCACTGAGCTAAGAGGGACAATTCAGAATCCTTTCTGCGACAATGTGGGCTCATCCATCTGATTCTTATCTATGGAATAAATGGGATGAAGTCCACAGAGTCCTGATTTCCTGCTACTTAACCTGCACTAGGTTATAGGTTTCAGATTTTTTTACATAACGGACACCGTATATCAAAACCGATGCTACTAGCTTTCATTGAAGAAATGTGGACTCGGAAGTCTGAATTATTCAATTTCGTAATGCGCAACAGTTGGAATGTGACCGTAAAATTGTACCCTGGTGTTGCACTACCGTGCATACAGCATCGCATCGTTATAGCCAACGCCACTCGAAAATACCTTGCCAGGTTGCCTCCTCCATTTCCCGCTGTACTTGATCACTGATTCCGATATTACCCAATACTAGCATTTTCCCTCCTAGCCTCGGTGTTAATACATACGGTTTCACAACGATATAGTCGACAATAGGTTGTCTAGCTGTGGGTGTTAATGATATATGTATTCTAGAAGTGGCATTAATAAACCCCCAGAATCAGTGCCAAGTCTATCATCTTCGGTATTTTCACCTGCACAGAGCATACTCACCTTACCTGGAATTCCACGAGGGAAGTTGGTAGCTGCTCGCCGCGAACGGGAGCCATCGACGGTGTGATTCAACTCGAGGTTTTCGGATGTGGCTTCCCGGGAAAAGAGACACCAATGCCTCTCATTAAAGATGTATTCCTACTCAGACGACAAATGTCATAGGTTCCAAAGAACCCTGTGTTATACGAGTCTGTCTGCTATTAGTCTTCGATGTAGGAAACATCCGGATGGGAGCTATCTAGGACGATGGAGGGGGCCACGGAGGATGTAATCCATTGGCAAGGTTCGTGCCTTCATATTCCAAGTTGCACGGAGAAATCAGAATCTGTCATATATGTCAGTACATGACTCTTCGCGTGTCCCACATATTGTAAGTTGATACATGCGTGGAGCTGCCGATAATATTACAGAGACTAGAGCCGATTTTACCTCCCAGGTTGAGGGTGATTCTGAGTGGAGTGCATCACTCCCTCCGCATTAGATGAAGAGTTTCAGTAATCAACTAGCCAATGAGTCTTACCCTTCAACGGTCTTCGGACTGATTTGAATTATTTCACTGATTTTTGAGTCAGCAGGAGATAAACGAATGAAAATTCAAGCGTACAATTTTCTCAGCTCTTGGGGGAAGTCTCTGTGCTGAGGGTGCTATGGGAAGAAAGACGCGTCCAACGACACAGCGCCAAATAACGCGACAACACGAGGATTTGTGACACATGTGACACTGGAGAAATCATCAGCACTGTTTTCCTGCCACCAGTTGGCCGCTTCAGGCTCATTCCTACATCCTAGTACAACAAGGATCTGTAGCAAAACTACTATCTTGGATAAGAAGAGAAACTGAAGCTGAATCTTGACTATCCATATCAACTTTGACTTCATCCATTTGTGCATGGCTGGGGCGTTTAGTGGACATTTGGTTGACTCATTTAACGCACGACAAGGTCACTTCACAGGCCCTTTTGGTTCATCAGCAAATCACGTTGTCAGCAGCGGTGCGATGTCCTTCAATCCTCAAATGCATGGGACACCAGCAGCTGGAAACCAATCGACGGGCATGGGAGACTATTCATTCTCGTTTAGCTCCCCACAGCAATCGTACTTCAACCCAGAGCTCTCTGATGCAACTACGCTCAAGATCGCGGCACTTCAAGCTAAGCTAAACCAGAAACTTGGGCCGGAGTACATCTCGCAGCGCCCTGGCCCAGGTGGAGGGCCAAAGCTCACGTACGCAGAGGGCTGGAAGATCATCAATTTGGCGAACGAGGTGTTCGGATTCAACGGGTGGAGCTCCAATGTCATTAGTTTGACCATCGATTTCATGGACTATAACGAAGAATCCAGGAGATACAATGTTGGCACGACGGCTATTGTCCGGGTTACTTTGCGCGACGGAGTGTACCATGAAGATATTGGTTATGGGATGTTGGAGAACTCTAAAAGTAAGGGTAGTGCACTCGATAAGGTGTGTTCTGCCTTCGACTTATTCCTCAGGCGACTGATTTGGGTTCAGTGCAAGAAGGAGGCCGTGACGGATGGCCTGAAGCGCGCTCTTCGGAATTTTGGAAATCTTCTGGGGAACTGCCTCTACGATAAGTCATACACGCAAGAGGTGGTAAAGATGAAGGTCGCACCTGTACGTTTATGATATTTTCTTTAAAGAGTGTCTATAAAATGCGCTGTTATGGCACGTATAGCCCAAGTTTGACAAGAGTGAACTACATCGTCGCCCCGAGTTCGATGAGACCAAGCCCAATATCGCCTCAACGTCCTCATCAAATGGATCGATGTCTACATCCACACTCAATCCAGCTAACAACACCACACCAACACGATCAACACACACAGCCCCGCCACATACCAGGGTCCTATCCTCCCTCCCTTTACACATCCGTTCAGAGGTCAACGCCGCCACAGGTTCTTCGCATCCCAACAGGCCCGAGGCAAACCATCCCGTCGCCCAGGCCTCTTCATCTCGACCCCAGCCCCCCCTCGGAGCCTCATCGAAAACTTCTGCCTCGTCTGCTACCTCAGCTCCGCTTCAAGAACCTGATACAAGGAATAATTCGAATCCCATGCCGCCTCCCGCAGCTCCACGGAACAACAACATCAAGCCTCCACCACCTGCTCCTCAACCACAGCCGAAACCGCCACCTGAGCTGCCACAGAAGGTGCAGATTGAAGATGCTGACGAGTCCTTTAACTTCAACTCTGACGATGATGCGTTCCTTGCGCTCGTCGACCTCGGGGAGGGTGATCTAGGACAGCCCCTTCTACCTGAGACAGACCTCGGGAGACCCATCGATGGTGACGAAGATTACTCTGAGCTTAACCAAAGTTCTGAATCGCTGGCTGTTGGCGATGGCGCTCACACAACGCCCGCTCAAGTAAAACACAACACGACTGCGACTGCGACTGCTACTACTAGTACTACTACATCAAACCCCGGATCATCGACGCGCGCGCATGGACATGCACTACCTTATCGTGTCCCACAACAAGCTTCTTCGTCCTCCTCTGCGGGAATGCTCTCGAAACTGCTTCCCCAGAATCAGCAACAGCAACAGGCCCGCGCTTCGTCATCTAATCAATTCTCTGTGCCAGCGCACAAGCCACCCTCAGTTGCCCACAGCACGAATCAGTTCCGCCGAAACTCGAATCAGCCCCAAGCCTCGAGGCATCAGAACCAGAACCAGAAACCTGCATCACCGACGGGGGCAGTTGGTTCCGGTAACGAACCTGCACCCGCTAAACGAGCGCCCACACCATCGATGGGCGGGTTTCATTTCCCACCGGGAGTTGTGAGTTTTTCGTTCTGTCTGATGACGAGTGTCGCTTGATTCCTGATTACATACCGTTTTTCGCTGGGTAATGTAGGATTTATCGGGGCTGAATTCCAGGTCTGGGGTGGGAATGAAGAGGCCTTTGGACACCTCATCGTCGTCATTGTGCGCTTTTTTTTTCATGCAGTCTGACGTTAATGTGACTAAAAAATCTCGCAGGTCGTCTTCAACGAGTACGAGGCCCACTGTAGCTGGAGGCACTTCAGCACAAAGGCAAGGGCAGCCTCCTCGGGAAGTATTTGGGCGACTGGACATTGGGGAAGGGGGCGACGTGAAGCGGGTTCGGAGGTAGAAATCGAGTTTGCTTTCCGTTGGCTTTTTTGGGACTACTGTATTGATAGCTTTTCTTGTCTTTTGATCTTGTTGTCCCGCCCCTTGTGGGCCCCCCATGTCTTGTATTTTATAGGATCGCTTTACGCTCTTGCTGTTTATATCTTTGCTACCGTTGGAAAATTCGACGTATTTTGACACGTACGTGTAGACAATAGTGGACGGTCAGACTAGCTATAGTTTGTTAATCAATAATTAATAATCAGCTGCTGCGGGCAGAGCCTTTTTGTGTACATCTACGAAATTACAGCTACTAGTATACGAGGAGTGAAATCTTAATCTATGCATGCAAGTTGGATGTCCAGGGCACAGAACTATGATGGATGAGGGTAAGAAACCGTAAGTAGGCTGCGAGCCTTTATATCACTTGTCGTCCTCCCTCCCTCAAAAAAAAACAACGTGATATTTATAGGTCTGACTACGGGAGACTAGCGATGACCGCACCATAGTTAATTTAATTTACTGTCATTTTCGAATTCGCTGACGGTCTCAACTTGAAGGTTGCACGAGGAGCTATTTGTCAAAGGTTATAAGTTGAACCAGGAGGAATTTAGAAAGATCTCT